GTACCTCCAGGTCACAGAGATTTATTAGTTGGAATCTGCAGTTCAGCAGATGACATTTTAAAAGGCGTTTTATTGCTTCATGACCTGTGTACACTGCAGGGTAATTCTGAGGCCTTTGTGTCTGCAGTGACTGTCCAAGCTGCAGTGGTTCCCACTGAGCTGCAGCACTGCCTGCCCCCAAGAGGAAATCCAGGTATAGCCAACCCCACCCTGATCCTGAGCCCCAGTGTCCAAAATCCCAGGTTCTCCTCCCACCCCAAGCCCTGATTGAATGCCCAGCCAGCAAGAAGGTTTTCCTGCAAAGAACCCAGAAGGAAGGAGATTCTGATCCAATTGCCCCAAAGGTCACAGACAACCATGCTGTGCACATGGGGAAACTGAGATTCAGAGAGGTGAGAGGATTTAATCAAAATCAGACAGCTTGTAAAGAATAAAGTTAAGACTGGGACCCATGGGTACCCCCCATCATTCCACTTCATCAGCTACATCTGCAAAATGTTTCTAATCACTTTAAGAGCAATTATCTATAGCGCATACCTTGAAGAATCAGTCCTGGTTTAGCATCACCAAGGATCTTGCTCAGAGAGTGGCCTAGAGACCAGGTTACTAGGGACATTCAAAGAGACCACTGGAAGATACCGTGCATGGGGTATCTCTCTCAGTGCATGGGGCAGTCTGGGTGTTCTTTGGGCTCTCAAAGAACCTTGGCACATAGCGCCTGGCAGCACAGTGTTTCTGCTGACCAAGCAGTAGCTCCCTCTGTCCAGTCCTTTGGATTATTTCTACCATTCCTTTGAAACTGAGTTCAGGAGTCTCCTCTTCCATACCAAACCATCGGACTTAGAGGTTTCCTTGTAGCCCTTAAGTTTTCCCTTGATTGTAACACCCGTCACCATGTATTATAGTTGTCTGTATAATCTTCTGATCCTGCACCTAGACTATGAACTTCTTGTTCACAGAGATCAAGAATGAGTCATTCCTGTCTCCCTAGCACCGTACCCTGTGCCTGGCTCATAGTAGATGCGCATTATATGTTGATTTTATTGAATTGAGCTCCAAATCTGCCACCCTGGGAGGGGGGGATGTCTCTTCCTTTCAGCATTCATCTGCCAATTAATAGAAGTGTTGAAGAATATGCTCCCAACACTAAAACATGCATTATGGCATGGATCCAAATCCTGCAAGACTCAGCCTTTTCTTGATTTGAGATTCAGATGATAAAAGTCATACACACACTTCTATTTTGTCAAACACCAGCCTTCTTGGGAACAGAGCCATGTGAACTACTTTATTGGTTTCTCATTCAAGACCAGTGAAACACAGCTCAGCCCAAACTGGCAAAGATCTTCACCCCAGTCTTCCAGCTGTTTCTTTTCCCTTGAGCCAGCTCAATCTTAGTTCGGTTCAACAGATCTTTGAGTGTCTACTCTGGGACAGTCACTGAGTGAGACCACTAGAACTACAAAAATGAATAAGGTATAGTGTCTACTCTCAGGAGTCCATCAATCTGCCAGAGGAGAAGAATGAGAAATCAGATCGTGTGAGGTGTAAAACAACATGTCCTGTATAGAGGGAGGCCCACAAGTGTGTGGAAGTACAGAAGTGGAGCCTGAACTGAGCTGGGATGGTCATTGCCAACTGGAGATGATGCCTGAGCTGTGTAGAGCATATGTTGGAGCAGTTGTGTGAAGAACGTAGGCAGAGTATATAGCATGAGAAAAGGTAAGTAGGTGAGAAAAGGTTTGGTATACAGGGAACTTCACGCAGTTCAATGTCACTAGAACAAAGAGTTTAAGTGGAAGAGAAGCAGAGTTGAAAAAATAGGCAGAGACCCTGTATTAGAGAGTTTTCTACGCCAGCCTAGGAGGATTTAACTCTATCCTGTAGGCAAAGAGATAAAAAGAGGATGGAAAATTTGGCAATAGATACTCCTGATAGTTGTACAACATGATTGATGTGATTGTTCTCCCTGAAGTGTACACGTGAAAAACGTTGAAATGCAAATGTTGTGTTACCTATATTTTTACAACAATAAATAAATAAATAAATAAATACAGAAGTAAAGACATCTGTGCCTTAGGAAAATTGCTTTGGTGACCAAGTAAAGGACAAATTAAAGTTAGAGCTGGTGGAGGAAGGGAGGTCATTCAGAAGTCTATTCTGATAGTCCAGGGGGAAGATGATGAGGTTTTAATTGAGGGAAGTGGAGACAAGATGGAGAGAAAGAGAAGCGTCTCAGTTATCTAGTGCTGATATAACAGAAATACCGCAAGTGGGTAGCTTTAACAAACAGAAATTTATTTTCTTACAGTTTAGAAAGCTAGAAGTCTGAATTCAGGGTGCTGGCTCTAGGGGAAAGTTTTCTCTCTCTCTTGATTCTAGGAGAAGGTCCTTGTCTCTTTTTAGCTTCTCTTCCTCAGTTCCTTGGCGATTTTCATGTGGTGTGGTATCGATCTTTCCCCATCTCTGCTTTCTTCTCTGTGCCTAATCTGCTCATTTTATATTTCAGAAGTGATTGGCTTAAGACACACCCTACACTGATATGGCCTCATTAACATAACAAAGAAAACTCTATTCCCAAATGGAGCTACCTACACAAGTATAGGGGTTAGGATTTACAACACCTATTTTGGGGGGACATAATTGAATCTATAGCAGAAAGGTTTCAGGAGACATTCAGGGGATATAGCACAATCAGACTTTGGTGCACAGCTAGATATGCAAAACCTAGACTATCTCCTTTCTAAAGTTGCCACTTTATGGCCATGGGCTTATCCTGATCTGTAGGGTATTGGAGGCTTGTAGATGGGCATATGTGGTTAGCAGAGACCAATTGGAAACATGTCAGGTGGAAGCATAGCCCTGTCCCTTGGATTGACTTGAGCAGAATACAGAATCAAGGGAAAGCAGCCAACATCTTGAGAGAAGAACTGAGAATCATGAAGACCACACGTGCTGGTCTGTCATTTACTGACTCTATAACTCCCCAGCTCTCCAAAGGTACACTGTGGTTACAGGCATGGCAGGATTCATTTAACTGGTAGCCTTTGAAATGTTTTTGCTCCTCAATCTTCATAAAAAGGAAATGAGGGCTGTGGTGGGTGGATGAGGTGTTGAGCTGTTCTCACTACAAGGAAACAGACCAGGCCTTTGATGAGCCCTGTAAATAATCAGGAACACATGCCCACAGTTCCCTGCCCAACCCACATAGCACTCTAGGAATGACTGGGGAGGGAGTGAGAAGAGGCTGGGGAGGAGAGACATTGGCAGGGGGCTAATTGGATAACTCGCCAATGTTAGTGACGATTTCAAAGACTGGTTTAGGACAGTGAAATGAGAAAGCAGTTGCCCTTGAATTTGGGGGGAGGGCAACATAGAGGTCCAGCCTGAACTATTGACTAGCTGTTGGGCCCCTTAAAAACCTTGCCTTTCTCTGGACCTGTTCATTCATCTACTTAAATGAGGATAATAAAACCTACTTACTTCACAGGTTTTAATGATAATCCAGTGAGTGGCAGTATATAGTGATTAAGGAAAAGCATAAGCTTGGGGGTGAGGTGGTCAGATTGGCTCCATTCAGACCTTGGTTCACCACTTAAGAGCAGTGTTACACTGGGCAAGTCAACTTGCCTCTACATATCTGTGTCTGTCCTTCGTAAAACTGGGGTCACGTTAGTACCCAGTCTATTGGATGGATTTGAAGATTAAATAAGGTCACGTGCGTTTATTTTAGCACCTAGAAAGCACTCATTACATGGGAACAAGCTCATGATATGAAAGAGCTGAGCACTGTCTACGAAGAGGGAGGACTCTTATCGAGCTCCCTGCACTGATGGAACTCCAGGAGGGTATTTCATCTCCCATTCAAGGTCAAATATACCCTAAGTGTGTACCCTTTTTGTCATTCATTTAGTAAACTGACCTGGATCTGAGCCCCAGCTCCACCACTTATTGTTTCCATTTACAGACAAGACTAGAGGTAGAAAGAGATGAAACGACTTGCCTCAGGTCACACTTGCTAGGATATGAGCCCCAAATAATGCCTCCAAGGCCTATGCTCTCAACTCTATGTTGCATACCTGTTCCAAAAACAGTGGCCACAGCTTTCTGTACTGGGGAGCACAGAATTAATTGTCATTCCAATGGAACTGGCATTTGTTGAGGACCTTCGGTGTGCCAGGCAGGTGCCTGGCATTTTACATAATCTCACAGCATCCTGGTGACAACCACGTGAACTGGGGCCTATTGTCCCCATCTTGAAGATTGCATAACAGCTCCGGAGTAGCCACTCAGCTACTTCTTCAAGGTCACGATTTGAACTTGAGTCTACCAGACAATACAGCTGACGCTCTGTCCCTGCCCACCACCATGCTCCTGCCACTGGGAAGGGGTAAAGCAGCAGGATGAAAACAATGCTCACAGTACCTTGCATTTTTGTTCAACGCATTTTCACAGACTCCTTACTTCTCACAATGACTCCCCAAAGTAGGCATCGTCATCTTGGTTATACATGAGGAAACTGAGAGTAGGACATATTGAGCAACTTCCCCAAGGTCACAAAGCAAGCCTGCAGCACCTAGCTCATCATCTTTCAGTCAGAAAACACAGAGGGAATGGCACCTAACTCACAGATCATTGCAAAAACGAAGGCATTTTCTGGGTCATATCCCGGACTACCAGCCCTCATTAGGGAATTTTGGAGAAGTGCCTCGGGAGGGGCAGGCCACGTGCCCTGTCCACTAGAAGCCGCACATGCAGCCCCTACCTATGGGCTGGCAGCATCAGATACTGCTTTAATTAGATCGCCATGGTAACGAGCTACCGGAGAATAATAGACAGTTGTGTACTTGTGAAAATCATCAGCCTCGGATAAGGCCCCGCTAAACTGTAATTATGCTGGAGTGGAAGCAGATCTTCATTTCTGGGAAAGAAATAAACTGCCATCCTTGCCTTCTTACCTTCGGATGTTACTCAAACATCAGGGTTTGGAATTCCAAGCAGGCTTATTGTTTGAATTTATATTTTGAGAGTGTTAAAACCCTTGTAAAGGTGGTCATGCTTACGCCCTTGGCTTTGAGTTGTATGTCCTGGAGGGGACCTGGGAGTAAGGTGAGAAAGGTAATAGTAATCACAGAGGCAGCATTTCTTGAGTATATATGTGCAGGGTGTTTTACCTGACTCCCCCCCCCCCACACCCCGCCATCATCACTGTACGCCTCTGCAGTGGGCGTCACAGCCCCATTTTACAAGTGTCCTGCCCTGTGCTGCATGCACATCAGTGATCAGTGGAGGTTTGAACCCTTGTCTGTTTGGCTCTGAGACCCGAGTGCTTTGCACTGCACCACAGAAGCCACTCAGGGACAAAAAGAGACTTTCCAGTTCAGCTGCACTTCTAAGATGCTCGAGGTCTGAGTCCTCCTTTTGATGAAATGTGAGGATTTTCCTTTAATCCGGTTAGTTTTGCTAGTCTGATAAGATTCAGTTCACCCCGGCCACCAGAGTCCCCTGGACCCATAAATAACGGAAAGATCATTTAAAAATAAATTACTTACTGAAAGCAGGGAAAACGCATCCTTGGATTGTTGCTCTCCAGGCCTGCCATAAATCTGTTGTCTTTTCGGCTCGGCAGTGGCCAGGGTCACAGACCGTAAAGTGCTTCCACAGAGAAATTTGAAAAATCCCTGCAAGATGGGGCATGCGGGAGTCATAGGAGAGGCATTTGTATTCTCTGCCGTCAGCCCCTGGCGAAGGGTAGAGCCCAGAGGCTGAGCTGGTGGGACAGGGTGGACATGCACCCAGAAAAACCAGCTGCTGCCCTGCCTCCTGGGATTTCGGGGGCATCATCAAAAGACCCCGGCCCCTAAAACGGCCTGGTGCCTGACCTATTTTCATCAGGAGAAACCAAATTTCCAGTCTCCCTGCAGCAAGAAGCTACATTTCCCTTTGGAGATGGGACCCAGTGACCTCAATTCTTATGATCGAGGATATGTCTGATATTCGATTTTGTTTTTCCTGAGAACACAGTTGTGTCAGAAGAGGGGGGGATAGAATGTGTCAGTAGAGAAGGCAGTGGCCAGGGGTGATGGCAGTCAGGGGCAGGGGGTGGCAGTGAAGGCAGACATGACGTGCTCCCTGACCTCGCTAGCTGCTCCTTATTCTGGTTCGGGGAGGGCAGGTTTGCAGACAGACTCAAGCTGCAGCCTGGCTGCCCCATCCTCAGGGAGCCTTTGGGTAGTTTACTAAGCTGTCGTCAATGGCTGTCTCCTTGTCTGTCCACCTCATTGGGCTGTTGTGATGTGCAAGTGAAATGGTGCCCTCCGGCCTCCGGCTCAGAAAAGGACACAGTGATTGGCATTGTGTCCGGACCTGTACTTGGAGCAGCTCATGGGTGACATTGGTTTGCCTCCGGGAGCATGTCAGGGTGCCCTCATCTTCCTCATTGAATTTCCACCCCAGCAGGATACTTTTAAGCACTTATTACTCACTGGCGAGGCACAGCATTTTGAATCACTGACAATTTGACTTAGACGTGCACTTTGAGATCGGTGAGGTGGGTGGTTTTAAACTCTGGGGTTATTAAGCTCTCCTAGAATGTGGTAAGAGCCAGGGACCCTTTTCCCTGGGGCATAGTGTATAAGAGCATACTCCCAACCGTTTGTGTACAATTCAGAGGCTCTGTAACCACCTGAAGTCCACCCACAGGCTCCCTTAGATGGTTACAGATCCCAGGTAAAGAATTCCTACCTAGTCCAACCTCCCATTTTATAAATGTTTATACAGAGAAAATGACTAACTCCAGGTCACAAAGGGAGTGAGCCCTGTGCTATGCAATCTCCCAGTCCTCCCTCTCTCTTTCTGGACATACTCCTACAATAACCTCCTAAGTGGTTTCTCCACTTCCACTTAGCCTCTCTCCAATATATTCTCTACACTGCAAATAAAACTCTTTTATAAATACAAATTGCATCACATACCTCTCCTGCTTAAAATCCTTTAGTGATTCTCCACTGGCCTCGAGATAACGCCCGGCATTTCTCCCATGACCTACAAGCAAAGCCGGCACATTACACATCTAGAAGGTGGCTGTGAGTCAGGATCGACTCCATGGCAACAGGTTTTGGGGCCCTGGTGGCACAGTGGTTAAGAGCTCAACTGTTAATCAAAAGGTTGGCAGTTCGAATCCACCAGCCATTCCTTGGAAACCCTATGGGGTGGTTCTACTCTGTCCTATAGGGTTGCTATGGTTGGAATCAACTCGATGGCAATGGGTTTGGTTTGCTTTGGGGAGGAGAGACCATGCACAGCATGGTGCCCTCTGGTGGAAGGCATTGTACACTCTACACAGCCATGCCAGCGCATGGCCCCAGGTGCTCCACAATACGCCTCCACCCCTCCCCATTCTCACAATGCTCCACTCCCCCCTCATTCCAGATATGTTGCTCTCTCAATTCCCGTAATGTCTAAAGGGCTATCACACTCCAGGGCATTTGTACATGCTTTTCCTTCTTTCTACTATACTCTTCTTTCCTCTCTTCACCTGGTTACCCCCTATTCATTCTCCAGCTTAGGCTTCATCATGTTTTCAAGAGCCTAAGATCCAGGTTTAACTTACCTGAGTCAGGCAGGGTCCAGTCAGGGCTCAGAAACCATGATAGGTTATTTCAACAGAGGAGATTTAATACAGGAGATTTGTTACATAGGTGTTGAAATACTGAAAAGGTTTTCTAAAAAATGGATGTTGAGGTAACAGAGATTTGTAACTTCCGAGAGCTGCTACTAGCCATAGGGTTGGGAGAACAAAAAGGAAGAGGTGGAGTTACCAGGATCTAGAAGTTCAGAGTGGTGGCTTGTGGGCTAGCTCTCTGATTGCTAAGCAGTCACCCCATGTCTAGGGTTGGGATCTCCAAGAGGACACCTCACTGTTGGTGTCTGGACCTCTGAGTGGGGAGGGGCCTTTCATAGTTGGCACCAGGACCTCAGGGTGCCTCCCACACCTGCATGGCTTTTGCTCAGATAGCAGTGTAGGGGTACGCCTGGTATTTGGAGTGTCACAAACTCTGAGGAGCTGGAGCTCTGTCTGGACTGTGGCCATAAGAGCTGGAAAAACAGGAAGAGCATCCCCTTTACCGCTCTTGTTGCCAGAACCTAACAGAAAACCAACTGGCAAGGGAGCAGTGGAAATATGGTTCACAGACTCCCAGCTCCAGCAGCACAGAGCAGAGTATGGAACGGGTGTCACTGAGGAAGAGAAGTAAATAACTGACACCAACACACCAAAAAAAACAAAAAAATCCGTTGCCGTTGAGTTGATTCCAACCCACATCACCCATAAATTATTGGCCTTTATATTTGACTGCAGACTCCATGAAGGTAGACTAAAATCAAGTTATCTGGTTCATCACGTATCTTCCATGCCTGGCACAAAGCCTCAACTGTAGGCACTCAATAAATGTTGATTGACCAATTGCATGGGAAGTACTGCACTTGGAGACAGGACTATTACTGTCCATGTGATCTTTCTGAGCCTCAGTTTCCTCACTTGCAAAGCAAAGGAAGAATTATTGTGACTATTAGGAAAATAATGAGCGTGAGAAGAGGGCTGTGAGCTGTTTGGATTCAGGTCATGAGAGAACATGAGAGCCCTCCATGGACAGTGTCTGCTTCACCAGGAGCCATATTCTGAGCTTGTTTTTAACAGGGTGTGAGGATGCTAAGAAGAGTGCGAAGCCCACTTACTGCCTATCTTCCTCGAAAGAATTTCAAAAGCTCCTTCTGCCTATTTTTGTCCTGTGGTGCTTGAGTGACTGTGTGGGTTATCACCTGTGACAAACATGTTTATGTGTGTGCTGACATTTCTGGTGTTTCCTGATAGGACAACATCACCTATGGAGTCCTGTGGAAAGAAGTCAGTAAATGTTCTAACTCCAGGGTGTTCGGGTTGGAACAGCAGGCAGAGAAATGGACATCTGGCTCTAGAATTCTTAGCTGGTGCCCAGAAAACTACAAACACAATCAATTCCTTAAAACCTATCTGCAAAGCCCACCAAGTGTTTTGTGTCACAGAACATCTAGAAGACGAGAGCATTTTGCACACACAGAGACACTCAATCAAAGATGTGCCTAAATATGTCCTAAGGGTATGGAATTCCTTAGCTGCCAGTTTGAGAGGCTGCTCATCACCTCATCACCTTTCTACTAAGGAAAGGCCCCTGAATCAGGGAGTTAGAAGCCTTGAGTTCTAGTCTCTTCTTCTCATTAGCTATCTCAATGAAATTGGATGAATCCCTTCTCCTGCATTTGTCTTGATTGGGATTCTTAATTTTGGCTTGGGTTACCCACTCCCAGAAATTCTTTTTGAATTGGGTTGAGGCGAAGCCTGAATATTACATATTTATCAAAGTTCCCCACAAGTGATTCTAATATGCAGCCAAGGATGAGAACAACTGTTCTAACCCAGGGGTTCTCAAACTTTAGTGTGCTTCAGAATTACCTAGAAGGCATGTTAAAACACAGAGGTTCTGATTCAGTAGGTCTGGGGTGACGCCTGAGAATCTGCATTTCTAACAAGTTTCCAGGTGCTGCTGATGCTATCAGCCTGAGACCACATTTTGAGAAGCAAAACAAAACAATACAAAACAAACAAACAAAAAAAAAACTCCTTGCCATTGAGTTGATTCTGACTCATAGTGACCCTATAGGACAGAGTAGAACTGTCCCATAGGGTTTCCTAGGCTGTAATCTTTAAGGGAGAAGACTGCCACATCTTTCTCTGACAGAGTGTCTTGTGGGTTCAAACTGCCAACCTTTTGGTTAGCAGCTGAGTGCTTTACCACTGTGCCACCAAGGCTCCTTACATTTTGAGAAGCACTGCTCTAATCCAGTGGTTCTCAATGGGCAATGGTGTTGTCCCCAGAGGACATTTGGTGATGTCTAGAGACATTTTTGGTTATCATAACTGGGGAGAAAAAGGGAGTGCTATTATCACCTAGAGTTAGAGGCCAGAGATACTGTTAGACATCTCCCAGGGCATTTCCCCAAATAAACAATTGTCCAATCCAAAATGTCAATAGTATTCTTGCTTCTGCAGTTTTAATGAGTGTATGAATCACCAGCAGATCATATTACAATGCAGATTCCAATTCAATAGGACTAAGGAGGACCTCAAGATACTGCATGTCTACGAAGTCCCAGGTGATGCCCAAGCTATCAAGCCTCCATAGCTTACAGTTTCTTCAGTTATATAGAGACATTCTCCCACAGCCTGAAATACAGAGATCACTCTGTTATTCGTTGTTATATCATCAAGGACTACAACAGTGTAACCACTGACACAGTAAACACTCATTAAATAGCAGAAAGATGCAAGCATCACAATGTGTAAGCTGAGCTGGCTTTCCCCACTCACCACCTTTCTTAGACAATGAGCCCTTGAGAGTCAGGCCACAGCTTGGCATGGATTAAGAGCTCTGTATATATCTGTTGTACAAAATTAGATGGACACAGTAAGAGTTAGCATTTTTGTAATGGCAGATGTATTGCTTTTCAAACCAATGCTCTTGATCTTTCCTTCAAAATTAATCCCTTACCTGGTCACAGTGCTCTTCATTTACAAGGTGTTTCATTTGCATTATACCATTTGATCCTCCTCCCAAAGTTATGAGGTGAGCAGGTCTAATCCCACTTATGGATGGGAAAACTGAGGTGTAGAAAGTTGCAGAACTGAGACTAGAGCAAAAGTCTAGCAGCCTAGCTATGCCGTGCCATACTACTCCCATGTCATCCACCCCAGTTCTCCCTATTTCAATTTTCTTCACTCCCCTAAGTCCTTCACTGCCCTTCCTCCATTATGGCCATACCTTCTCCCCTTTCTTGTCCCATCTCTTCTGTCTTTTATTTCCTCCCTCTACATATCAGAGGACCCTCCCTTCTGTCTAACTGGCTTTGTTTTTCAGCCTCTCCGTCTGGGAGCTGCCTTGAGTGGCTGAGGGCTTCCTGGCCACCAACTGCTTCTTGAGGCACAGAATCACTTCAGCTGATGGAGGAAAGCCAAGATCTTCCTTCATTTGCTCCCTCCTTCCCACTCTGTTCCCCCCCGTCACATTGGGTATCACCATTGTGAACTCCAGTCTGCATGGCGCCATGTGTCGGATCTTCCTCACCGTAAAGCAGATACACCACTGACATCTGCTCCATGAGAAAGAGATTTATAATTCACAGTTCTTCCCCTCAATATATTGAAAAGGAGTTTGGATTCAGACATATTTTCATTAAAATCCCGATTCTTGGTTCTCCAGCCACTGACGGCTCCTTCTTTATCACTTGTGCTGATTTCTCATTCTTCCTCCTGACTACTAAATCTGGAGAGCCCCAGACTTCATGTGCTAACCTTCTCTTTTCTATCTACACTCACTCCCTAGCTGATCTCAACAAGTCCCACTGATGACTCACCAATTTTATCTAAAGCACCAACCTCTCTACTGAACTCCAGACTGATATACCCAACTACTTACTTAACTTTACCATTTTGACATTTAATGGGAAGACTATATATATCCCAAACTAAATTCTTAATTGTCCCCTAGCTCCCCAAACATGCTCCTCTCCCGGTCTTCCTCATCTCTGTTAAAGTCAATTCCCTTCCATCCTTGGAGAAAGCCTTGTCTCCTCTGTATTTCTCACACATCTCAAACTTGATCTACATATGTCTATACAGGTCGTATCACCTCCACTGTCACCACCTTGGCCTAAGCCACCAACATCTCGCACCTGAGTAATTGCACTAGCCTCCTAACTGGTCTCCCTGCTTCTACCTTTGTCTTCTTCTTACTATTCTCCACAAAACAGAGATGTGATCCTTTCACTATTAAGTCAGATCACACCCATTCACTGCTCTGAATCCTCCAGTGTTACTTTATTTCCTTTTTAGTAAAATCCAAATTCTTTGCCATGGCCTACATAGCTTCAGTGAACAGGTCCCACTATCTCCCTGACTGTATCTTCCACCACTCTCTCTCACCCATCTGCTCCAGAAATTCTGGCCTCCTTGCTTGACAACTCTATTCATAGTCCCACCTCAGAGTCTTTGTTATTCCTATTTCTTCTACCCAGA